GTTTTTGAGTAGACAGAGAATCCGATTTGAACAATTCAAAAAACATTCAATTCGTAATGATGGGGAGACGTTTGATTAGTTTTTTGCAATACTCGTTTCGGAGATACGAAGATAAAAGTGCTAAAAGTGTCAGTTTTTGAGAGAACGAAGCATTCGATTCGAATGATTCTGTTTGTGTTGCCAGTGTGAAGAAAGCAATTGTTTTTTGGGGAAGCCATTTTTTTCTAAATTTCGAATATATTTTTTTATTTGCAATTTTTTTAATGTTGAAAAAATATCGCATGCTAATTCTAGTTAAAATTCTAGAGTTTACTTATATACTTGAAATAAATTATTTTAACTTTGCAATTCAGCTTATGCAATTCGTAGAAATATGAGATAAGGTTTTTTAATTCTAACGCTGATTAATCAAGTTTTTTTTATTTACTTTCTAAGTAGACATATATAAACGTCGTTGTATAATTTATTAATTTATAAGCTCAGATATTTTGTATATAAGATATGAATACTGAAAGTTACAGTATTTAATAATCTATTTGAAAATATTGAAAATTTCTCGATTATTTCATTACGGTACGGGAAGTTGAGGAACGATGCCATGAACCCCTAGTTTTTTATTCTACTGACAATGAGTGACGGTCTTGACGTAGACCGAAACGTATGGTTCAATAAAGCTATATTTTTTAATTGGTGCTATGCCCGAATCAATAATACATTTATATATAATATAAATTGGTATAGGTATAGGTATATATAAATTTGTATTGTCAATGATCGATTCGAAGCGAGCGTCGCGTACGTGCATTGCACTCGGTTGCAATCCTTTCCATTGGCACTGTTCAAAATGATACATTCCTCCCGATGTCTTTTTTATTTATAAAACAGAATGATTTTAATTAGAGGTGTTCCTGGGATGCGATTCTTCTCGCTCGTTGCGGGGTGCGGGATGCGGGGTGCGTCGTCGTTCACCGTTCACCGTTCACCGTGTTCACCGTGTTCACCGTAGTTCGTCGTGTGCATCGTGTGCATCGTGCATCTGCAGTGTGTGCGATTGTGTTCGGTTGTGCATGTGTGCCGACTCGAGTGCTGTATGCACTTTTCTCGTTGACAATAAAAAGTGTATATGAACGATGATGATAAATGCTTTTTACAAAAGAATGTCATTCGCGGAATTAAGACTGGAAGAGGCGTGGTCAATAAACGATCCGTCCCACTCTTCGAAAATGGGAATAGGTGTAGAGACGTTAGAACCCAATGGTATACGAGGAGCACAATACTAACTCCGTGCACTCATGAGAATGGGTTACGTTACGTGCTTGATAGTGGCTAGAACTTCGGGTTATTATGTATACGTTATTTCCCTTAGTATATATATATCTGAAGATATTCTATTGCTTCGAAAACATGCCCGCAATCATATTTCACTATTACTATTACATTGCTTTATCTCTAAATAACAATGTAAAATGGACTCGCTGGCCCGGCTGTTCGATTGCATTAACGGACTCTTAAATTATTACTTTCTCGACTTTAAATATATCCGAGATTGTTTTTCGAAAAGATTTTCATAGATCTTGAATTATTTCTTTTTATCTCGTATATTCGCAGATAGTATAATATATAGGTCTATCGCATAGTACAGTGAAGGATTAGTATTCAAGGCGTTTTGTTCAACATAAAACATCATTTGACTTTGAGGTTATACATATATGGTAACTATACGTCCCGGATTGGACTATTGCATCACTGATTTTTATAGAAGCAATATTTTTTCTGGACTTAGGTTTTTTGTCCTGCATTGCACCTAATTAAAAAAAGTGCTAATTTCACAGCTAGTATTATTGTTACAAAACCGAAAATGTTTTGCACATTTAATTTGTGACTTGAAATATACGCACTAAAAACGATATTACTTACTATTGTAATTATGAAGAAAATTTTACAGAAAATTGTACAGCGATACAAAAAAATAAACCTACAAAAACCTAAAGAAATAGACCTACTGAAAAAGATTCATAAATCAAAAAAATGTGAATAATTTTGTACTCATTATAAGCAATTCTAAATAAAAAAGATTTAATTCGTTTCAGAAATCTGAGTCTTATTTTGTCCTTAATATATATTGAGGACATAATAAGACTTAAAGACTTAAGACTAAACTATATATGGTTTGTTATTTATAATTGGTCCTAAAAAATGAATAACTAGTGGGGTGTATAGCATCGTGCTTTAAGGTAAATTGCTGGAACTTTCCGTTCCGTAACGGAATGTGCGAGGAATACTGAATGTTTTCAAATAGATTATTATTAATATTGTAACATTGTCTAATATTTATAAGAATTATATAAACTGAATTGCAAAGTTGAAATTATTTGTTTAAAATATATTAGAACTCTAGTCAAAACTAAAAATAAAATCTGAATTATTTTCGATATACAAAAAAATTTTAAACAAACATTTTTTTTCCAAAATCAATTATTTTGTTAAGACAAGCAGAAAGTTCTCTGAATCATTTAAATCGGGCGCTTAGTTCTCTCATAAACTGCCATTTTTTACACATTTAGCTCCGTATCTTTGAAATGGCTGGGCTTGCTTTTGCCAAAAACTAATAAACACTTCTCCCAACCATTACTAATTGAATGTTTTTAGATCATTCAAATCGGATGCTCCGCTCTCAAAAACTCGATTTCTATTTTCTGCACTCTTTGCTCTTTATCTCCGTAACTGCTGGATCTGCCTTTGCCAAAAACTAATCAGCTCATCTCCCTATCAATAGGAATCGAATGTTTTTTAAACCATTCAAATCAGTTGATCCGTGCGCCCGAAAACGTGACTGGAAATTTGTATTCATACATACATACACACACACATCCATTTTTTCTGAGGTATGCCAAAATGAAGAAACCTTCAAAACGTCGAGAAATGTTAATTTTCAATTTCGATTTTCGGCCCATTACAATAACTTACCCTACGGGAAGGTAAAAAACAATACTTATGGTATTAAAATTAACTTATCACCTGCTAAGATTCATTCCTGGATTTAATATAAAAAGACATGGTCACCATATGCATGTACTACTTTCTTGTCAATCTTGTTTCTCAATTTTCTACGACCACATCATTCAAAATGCACTATTTAGTTCATTTAGGTAATGTCACAAAATTAAGTAAAAGCTATTTGGTAAATAATAAAAACTGATAGATTTTTTACATGTCAATATTGACATCCAGCATCGAGGAATATCGCTACACATCATTCTCTTATTGATTGTACAATATTTATAAAAAACCTTTTGTAAAATTCAGTAGTAGTAGTAGTACTACATGAATTGGCCAAATTCTTTTACAACTTTTAAGATATTTTTAATTTATGAAATATATTTGAGAAACATATATGCAATTGTAATAATTTACTATTTATTTATAAAACTAATTATAATACAAAATATTTTATACATTTCAAACTAATCTCATTTTGCAATGGAATCTACTGATGGTTTTTAAGAGAATTAATTTCAAAGATTCAAAATATTTTAGGCTTTTTTATCAATGTTGCATCTATTTGGAATAATTACCTGTACTATATAATCAATAACACTACGTGACAGTAAATATTTTTCCTAAGATATTATGATGGTTTTTAAGCATCCTCGAGGTGATTCCAAAAAAAGTAACAGAACTTTGCTAAAAGCTCTAGTTTTAGGGATATACCAATCTGCTAGTTTTACCTCAAATTACCAAGAAAAATAACACATTTTATTTTATGCATTTAAAAGTCTTTTTATATAATTTTCGAGCATGGACAATGTCAGTTGTCAATGACAGTTGGGTGTATGGCATCGTACCTTAAGGCAAATTGCTGGAACTTCCCGTACCGTAACGAAATGTTCGAGGAATACTGAATGTTTTCAAATAGATTTTTATTAATATTGTAACATTGTCTAATATTTATGAGAATTATATAAACTGAATTGCAAAGTTGAAATTATTTGTTTAAAGCATATTAGAACTATAGTCAGAATTAAAAACAAAATCTGAATTATTTTCGACATACAAAAATTTTTTCTTGAAAAAAAAAAGTTGAGACAATTTTTTTTTCCAAAATCAATTATTTTGTTAAGACAAGCAGAAAGTTTTTTGAATCATTCAAATCGGACGCTTATTTTTATCAAAAACTGCCATTTTTTACATATTTAGCTCGTATCTTTGAACTGGCTGGACCTGTCTTTGCCAAAAACTAATCAGCTCTTCTCCCTATCAATAGGAATCGAATGTTTTTTGAACCATTCAAATCGGTTGATCCGTGCGCCCGAAAACGTGACTGGAAATTTGTATCCATACATACACACACACACACATACATCCATTTTTTCTGAGGTATGCCGAAACGTTCAGAAACCTTCAAAACGTCGAGAAATGTAAAAAATTTTAATTTCGATCTTTGGCCCATTACAATAACTTACGGGAAGTTAAAAAGTCGATGAAAAATCCACATTACATTTAAGAACTTCTATATAGGACTTTTTTTTAATATGTTAATTGAATTAGTGTGACTTTTGGCCATTTAGGATGCATTAATGCATTTGACTTTTTTGTGAAAAAATAACTATTTTCAATAGAAAATTCCAATTCACAATGTACTATTAAAAGAAGTGTAATAACTTTGGTTCAACGTGGGTTGATTACAGATGTTACATATAAGTATTTTTTATAAATATGAAGAACATTCTTTAGAAGTCGGACGACTTTTTCGCAGGATATTAAACTGGAGATTTAAATGACTATATCCGTGCTATTATATTTAATGTTTGCGGTTTATTATAAATATTTTTCACGCATGCTGGCATCGGCGATTCTCGACCACAAACCACCATTCGTGGAGTTCCACATTGTTTCGCGTTCCAAGCTACCGATTCAGATTGAAACGTTATGTCATTCTGATCATCAATTTCTCTAATTTTGATGAAAAAATGCAGAAAACAGTGAACTGAACATAAAAGTTGGTACGAATTATTTGACCAAGGATTAATTATTACTTATAGCACGTTTTGAAGCAAAATATAATAAACGCAGTGGCAGAAATTGAGCCACTCGCAAATGTTGTCTAGAATATAATTCATTAATTTTTAGGTCTTTTGATTGTTTTGAATAAGCTTTACTGTGCCAAAATTTAAATAAATCAATTTTATGATTTGATGTTGTGATGGGTCAGTGGGTCACATCAACCAAACAAAGATCGAACTTTGTTCAGTAAAATTTCCAGTTAATTACTAATTATAAAAATTTATTTTGTTACCCTATAGACAGGGCAAAGAAGAACAGCCATAGGGTAAATAGATCCAAAGTTTCATTTTGAATTTTAAAAGAAATTTCTGAAATAATAGCTACTTTATTCAACCAATGCAAAATAAAAATTTCAAATGCACATCTTTTTGAAAAGATCACACTGTATATAACCTGGATCTGGTATTCATTAAAATTATTTATTGTACTAATTCGAGTTGGACTAATTATTAGTATAATTCATCTTCTAGATTGCTTTTTTAACTTAGTTTACATATTTATTTACTATTTTCGTAGTGTTTTCACCTTTGCCAGAATAAAAGTTTAGTTGGTCTTTTTTACCTCAACTACATATGAGCTTGCATATGTATAGAGGTTCTGTAAAGAAAACTGTTGAATTTAACTTGAAAACACAATGCTTTTTATAAAACATTTAAATATTGTATACTTAAAAATTATATTCTATTATCTTAACTATATACTATAAAGTAGCTCAAAACCGAAAAACTACCAACAAAATAAAATTGTTATAAATATTGATACATGGCCATTTATCTCCTTACAACGACGTCGTAAGAATTAAGGTAATGGCTGGTTACACATCTTTTTCCTTCTACTTTAAAACAGCATTGTTAAAAATTTCTATACATGACTTGTTTTTGAAATAAGGGGGGTGGACCTTGAGCCCCACAAGCCACGAATTCCAACTATCAAATAAAAAGCAAAGGTATTTTTTAGTATATTTATTACCTAATAAAACTGTTTTTATTCATAGTATGTTGTTTCTGTAGGTATGCTTTTTTCCTTGACTTTTTTTCTTTTATTTTTCCTTCTGTTTCAAATATGGTTCTTCTTTTCTTTGTATTCTCATATGTCGATTACTCGTAATTATTATTATAGATCTGCAGGCACTCATAACCACGCCAAACTCGTATTTGTAGGAATATTATTTTTAATGTCTTCAATATATTTAACTATTTTTATTCTATATTTTTTCGATTCTCAACAATTTTTTACTGTTGCAACCATTATTTATTAAAAATAAACAAAAAACGTATCATCAATCATTCATTTAATAGTTGTTGTATCTAGGCTAATTATTAATGTAAGTTTTGTGCAAATTGGCCAGCAGATTAATTAGTCGTACATAAAAGGCTTATATATATTAACAGATCACATTTTTTATTTTTTTCTATTTATTTCAGATTGTTTTAATTGCTTTACGCTTGTCTTGATTTAACCATTCCAAATTATCTAGAATTTCTTTGATTATTTTTTTTACTATTATTGATCACTGTTACATTTCCATTCTTTTCTCTACAGTTAAGTTTATTAGGTGTTTACATTCACATTCAATTTTTTATGAAACCAGTAGTTTTTGGTATTAAATAAAAAAAATATATCAAGCTAAAAAATGCATGGGTAAAAAAATGTCGAGATTTTATTTAATTGGTTATGTACATCAAGGCTTTACTCGCAAGGCAGAGGGCATTCTAACAATATAAAGTTTTTTTCGCTAGAACTCAACATACTAATCGCGTCGCTTTCTTGAAGATATCCATCAATGCGGGAAGTAATTATTCCCTTCAAAGTGTTCAATAAATCAAGCGTGATATAATTATTTTATAATCAACAAATCTGTAAAGTAAAACTGTGGGTCAAGTGTGGGACGATTTGTCCATCTTATTTGCTGTAAAGGTAAAAATTCTCGCGCTGAAAAGCATTCAGAGAAGCGGCGGAAATCATACATATAATTGATTCATTGAGGTTATTCTTAAAGAAATAATACTAATATTGATCTGATGTCACATGAAGACAATAATTTGAAAAAAATGTGTGAAAGGCATCACGATGGATCATCTCTTGAATTAATTCAATTTTAGCATATAAACATAAACGGCAGGTCTTGCACTTGCAATACATCAGTATTTTTTTATTCTCTGAACTGGTTTTCTATTGAAAATTTAAATCGAGCACCAACTTTATGATTAGCTACACGAAGAAACTAATACGAATAAGTAGATAAGAACAAAAATGAGTAAAGGCGTCATTTTATTGAACTTCTAGACATCATACTTAAGTGCTTAAGTCTGCATCTTACAATTTTCCTTCTAGCGCTGTAGTCTCTATTCAGAATGCCAATTATATGAATAATCAATAAAATGTAATGCAAAGAGCAGAAAAAGGGTAATATTACGTACTCGATACATAAACAAAGCCCGACATGTAATTAGAGTATGTTACTTGATCTGTATAAAATAGAGATTGATTAATAAGAATGGCAAGAATTAAGATAATTGACAACTGTAAATATCATTTGTAAATCAAGGGAATGAATAATTGACAATTAAGGGAATAAATACTTAGCAACAAGAACTATTACATCGATAAGTATATTTATAGAATAAATGGCAAATGACGTTTTATGAATACTGTGTATTCAAGTAAAGAATCAATCTCCAGAAAAACGAATACAATTATATTATCATTGGTTTAAGAACACCATTTGTTCTCTTTGCTTTGTTTACAATAGGGGAGGGCGAGCCGAAAAGGCTCAAAGCGACTTTGAGCCATTATATGGTAAAAACTAAATAATTATATCACAACAAATAACACATATTACACAAACAGCTATTTTACTATGTTCAGTAAAACTCCCAACTAATTCATCATTTAAAAATATGATTTTTTTGCTGTTTTTCAAAAAACTGTCACCTGGTCCTTTTTATCCTGTAGGCGGGGTCTAATATCTTATTTTCAATTTTAAAGGGATTTTACGAATTAATAGCTACATTATTCAACCAAAACGAAATATAAATTTCTTAGGTATTTAATTAGTTAGGTACATTTTTTACAGAGATAACACTGTTTTTAACCATGATTTGTTATTTCTTCAGAAATAATTATCAGTATAGTTGCAATAACTTTTTATTTAAGTTATCTCTGGTAAAATTGCTTTTTTCACTTAATTTCTTTTTTTATTTACTATTTCTGATGGTTTACACTTTTGCCAAGTTAAGGCTCAGATGGCTCCTTTCACCCAACCCATATGAAAGCTTTTATAGAGGTTATATAAAAAACCGTTGAATTTAACTTGAAAATAACAGTATATATTATAAAAGATTTAAATAACGTATACTTAAAAATTATATTAAAGTCTCGTAAACTAAACAACAGTGCTCACAACCGAAAAAAAACAAATAATAAAAGAAAATACTTTTGTTATGGATTTTCGAAAATTGCAGTTTATCTCCCGATGGCGACGTCGTAAAAACCAAGGTGATGGCTGGTTACACATCTTTTGCCCTCTACTTTCAAATATTGTTGTTAAAATTTATTAGCTTTACTTGCTTTTGAGATATCGGTGGTGGACATTTTACCCTCGGACCTTTAAACCCCGCCCCTATAGATTTCTATAATATACTTTTCTAACTTTTGCTCCCGTATTACTATGACTTGAACTTCTGCTTTCAATACCCTGTATTTAGTGTTCTAGCGCAAATTGTCGGCCACCAGCATTCATTTTTGCTCCAGTCTTAGCTCTGATATTTTTCTTTTCATTAAACTATGCAGAGGGGAACCATTTTTGCAACATGGATTTACTCCAGTTTACTTTGTATTTTGCAATCACAAACAGTTGAATTCTTTTTTCGTCCAATCCTTGCAGTACTTTCCTATTTCGATCTTATCGTCTTCAATCTATGCAGGGTCATGTTCCAAATATAGCATTTAATGAATTTAATGTGAAATTTAAGGTTCGATTTGCTTTTCAGTAGCGTCCTGCTTTTTGCAGAGATCGCTTTGATGCTGCCAATCGTATCCCTGATCTCCCACGTGCATCATCTACCGACAAAAGTGTTCGTATGCACTCGTACACATGTAATACGTGCCTGTATAAGTAGATATACATATCATGTTCGTTCAGGTACAATAGGGACTAGCTGTAAGTGGAATTCTGTCTTAAGGCAATTAAGGCATCGTGCCTTAAGGCAAATTGCTGGAACTTCCCGTACCAAAAATTATTATTTTTTTAAAAACGATTAACATTTTTGAAAAAAAAATTACTTTGAAAAAAATAAGATTTTTGAGAAACTATAAATTGGCCAAAAAATTACTTTTTTTTGAAAAAAAAATTTTTTTTAAAAAAAAATTTTTTTTTAATTTTTTTTTTGTTTTTTTTTTTTGAAAAAAAAATTTTTCTTTATTTTAACATATTGTGGAAGATCTGAACTTTTTTCAAAGCAATCGTACTGTTTTAACTGCATAGGGACAAAATATAAAGCGCGTAAGTGCCGCGTCGCTGTCTAACGCATAAGCATTGGTACAGAACCCATAGGAATGTTAACAAAATGTATACTTATTGTTAAAATCTCTATAAAATATCTGATAATTTGATGTGCATATGTCTAATGATCATTTTTGACCGCCAAATGGCTCATTTTTTTACTTTTTCCTCCATATCTCCGAAACCGCTAGACCTACCTTCATGAAAATTTTATCGATTCTTCATCTTGTCAATACAAGTGAAACGTTTTTTTGAATTATTCAAATCGGACGCTCCGTTCTCTTAAAAACTGAGTTACCGTTTTCGGCACTTTTTGCCCCGTATCTTCGGAACGGCTAGACCTGCCTTCGCCAAAAACTAATCAGCACGTCTCCTTATCAATACGAATCGAATGTTTTTTGAATTATTCAAATCGGTTGATCCGTGTTCCCGAAA